TTAGGTACCTAGCACAGGTTGGATCCTTACTTCACTTACACTTCAGTCTTGCCATTCTGGTGTCTGAGGTGTCAGATTCTATAGCATTCAAAAGAGTAAAGGGGTTTTGTAAATTCTTTCTTTAGAAAAATAACTTATGTGGAACAAGTTACACATACATATAATGAGAAAAAAAAATCAACATTAAATTTCTATTTTTATTTTAAAACTCTTTGTTTTAGAATTATTTTAGGTTTATAGAAACATTGTAAAGATCATATAGAGTTCCTGTATACTTTCACCATTTTCTCATATTGCTAACATTTGACATAACTATGACACATTTGTCAAAACTAAGAAATTAACATTGGCACATTCCTATTCAATGAAACTATGGACTTTATTTGGATTTCATCAGTTTTTTTCACTAATATCCTGTTTCTGTTCCAGGATCCAATCCATGATTCCCACATCGAAATTAGTCATCATGTCTCCTTAGTCTCTTCTGTAACAATATCTGTCTTCCTTATCATGGCCTGGAGGATTTTATAGAGTACTGGTCAGCTATTTTCTAGAATGTTCCTCCGTTCAGGTTTATCTGATGTTTCTCTCGAGTAGACTGGGGTGATGGGTTCTGAGACTACGGGAAGTGAAGTGCCCTTCTCATCACATCAGATCACATCAGGTAGCACACTGTACCCACAGAATTTATCACTGGCGATGTTGACCTTGAGCACTTAAATGATGTGATGTCTGCCAGGTTTTTCCACTGAAAGTTATTTTCCCCTTTCTGTACTTTGGAAGTGAGTCACTCATTAGCTCCTACTCAGTGGGAGAGGGAGCACTATCTATAAATATTATTTGGAATTCTTGTGTAAGGAAAATTTGTCTCTTCTCCCTATTTATTATTCAATTATTTATTAGCATGGACTCATGTATATTTCTCTTATACTTTGGGTTATAATCTGATACTACGTTATATAGTATATAGTTTGTTAAAATTGTTCCTGTTTGGCCACTGGGAGTTCTTTCAGATTGGTTCCTGTGTCCCTCTGACATACCCCCCCTCCACCCCCAGCCTGGCAGTACCTTAGCTTTAAAAAAAAAATTATTTTTATTGTTGAGGTATCTTAGCTTTTGATGTAAAATTTGGTTTTCTTTCCCTTCTATCCAGAGATTGCTTTAAGAGTCTTTACATTACAATGGTTTCTAGAATGTCAGGCCAAAGTCTACTTTTCTGTTCTTAGTTGACCTTTCTGTGGCAATACTATTAATCTCTTTCCTTCCAATTCCATTTCATTTTCTAAAAATATACTATGAAATTTTCAAACATAAGCAAAGCCAGAGAAAAGAGCATAATAAGTCTCCATGCATCCATGTCCCAATTTCAACAATTCTCAACATTTTGCTGATCTTGTTTCAACTGTCACTTCTCCCATGCTCTGCCCCTGGAATACTTTCAAGGAAATCCAAGACAGCATATGTATTCAGCTGTAAAGGATTCAGATAAGAACTTAAAAAAAAACATAACCACAAAACAATTATTACACCTAACAAATTTAATAACTCTTTACTATCCTCTAACACTCAGTCCATATTCAAATTCCCCCCAAAGTTTTAATAATGAATTTTTTTCAAATTAGGATCCATACAAAGTTGACACATTACATCTTAGAACAGTTCCTCCCCCTGCTATCACCTCTTCTCCAACGCACACTTTTTAAAAGTCCATTTGTTGAAGAAACTAGGTTTTCTGTCCTATCAAATTTCCCTCATTTTAGATTTAGCTGATTGTATCTTCAGTGTGTTTAAAATGTCAGTCTACTCCCTGAACTTCCTGTAAATTAGTACTTAGATGTAGAGTCTTAATTAGATTGTGTTATATATACACATATATATTTACAAAAATATTTGCAATATATTTGAGATATAGGCATATATATATATATATATATATATGTATTTTTTTTTTTTGCAAAAATACTTTATTGGTGGTGATATCAACTTCCTAAGGCATCCCAGCAGGAGCCACATTGTCTGCTTGTCCCACTTACAATTTTCCCTTTCAAGATACCTCTAGCTCCTGGTTTTTCTCTTCTTTGTCTTTGTCATTTCTTCTCTGTTCCCATCACAGACTCCACTTTACTTATGTTTTGACGTCGTTGTTCTTCAGGGCCTATTGTCACTGGTCCATTCCTCCCAGTCTATATATGGTGCCCTTTTCCATATTCTTAAGTCTTTTTAATGCAGACCCTCTCCACTGAGTTCTAAACCCAAATATCCTGTGACTGGCAGGATGTCACTGGATGTCCTGTGAGCCCTTCAAACTCACTATGTTCCAAATAGAATTAATTATCTTTGTTCCCAAACCGGTTTCTCATTGTTTCCTTTACTTCAATAACTAGAACCACCATCCAAGACAGAAACCTGAGCCATCCTAGACCTTTTCTCGCCTGCCCCAAATCACCAACCCATGGAACGTCTATTTTAGTGATGGCGAACCTTTTGAGCTCAGCGTGTCAGCATTTTGAAAAACCCTAACTTAACTCTGGTGCCGTGTCACATATCGAAATTTTTTGATCTTTGCAACCACAGTAAAACAAAGATTTATATTTTTGAAATTTATTTTATATATTAAAATGCCATTTAACAAAGAAAAATCAACCAAAAAATGAGTTCACGTGTCACCTCTGACACGCGTGTCATAGGTTCGCCATCACTGGTCTATTTCCTCAATATCACAAGCGTATCCCCTCTTCTTCTTGCTGCTAATAGTGTCAGTTCTAAAATTCAGACAAAAAGTGCAAATGCATTATCCAGAGTCACACATTCCCAAGCAGTGCTAGGGCTAGAACCTAACCTGGTGCTTCAGCATGGAATGTACTGGAATCCTGCTGAGGGCTGTAAGTGGCTCCAGATTCTTTGTGATGCTTTGGATACAGTGTGCCTTACATATATTGACGTATGGCTGTAGAGACCGCATTCAGCAGGGCGAAGCAGCTAAAAGTGGGGAGCTTAGGAGTCAGAATACCTGGGTTTGACAGCCACTTGCACCACTGACAGTAAACCCGATTCAGCTGGTTAATTTCTCTGTGCTTCAGGTTCCTAATCTACAAATGGGAATATTCCTTCACCCCTTTTCTGAAACCCCCAAAGCTCTGGAAACTACAAGTTGGTCTTTTGTTGTTGTTTTTAAAAAAAATAATTTGGCAGCCAAATCTGACTTAACTGTAAGGATCTGATGACAATGCCTGACCTGAATAAAACTGAAAGCACAACAAAATCTGAATTCTGAAACATGCCTGACCTAGAAGTTTTGGAAAACAGGTTGTATACCTGTAATAGGTCATCATAGGTTGATTACTAAAGAAATTAATATTTGAAAAGTAATTAGAAGAGTATGTGGCTCATAGTAAGCCCTATATAAGTGTTTGATAAAGCGAAATATAATATTTTGTGTCAGAATAGCTTGATGAATTTGGAGGCCTCTATCAAAACTGAGTTCCTACCATAGCTTTTCTGTTATATAAAAATTAAACATCAGAGATAGAAAATCCCCTCTTTTTGAATGGCACTCCAATTCCTTCCCTGCTCAGAACTATCCACTATTCTGAAGCTGGTGTATATGAATACTGTGCACGCAAGTTTCTTGATATTAGTACATATGTGTCCACAGTATGTATTTTTTTTAAATCCTCACCGGAGGACACTTTTTACATTGATTTTCAGAGAGAGTGGAAGGGAGGGTGAAAGGGGGGACAGATGGAGAGAAACATCAATGTGAGAGAGACACATCGATTGGTTGCCTCCCACTCGTGGGCGGGTCAAACCTGCAACTCAGGTACTTGACCTAGACTGGAATCAAACCGGTGACCCTTCTGTGTGAGAGCTGATGCTCTAACCACTGAGAACACTGGCCAGGGCCACAGTATATATTTTTTAAAAAACAACAAACAATAATCGGTCCCAAATGTCAATAGTGCTGAGGTTGAGAAGCCCTGCCCTCATCCCTCTCTTTCCTATGCTCCTGCAGCTCCTGCACGCATGCGTACAGCAGTGCACACATTGCATCTGTTATCACTGCACACCTGTCTGCTTCTCCTCCTAAAATGCAAGTTCCCTGAGGAAAGAGGCTATGGTTTGACTACCTGGAATGGAAAGGACTAAAAATATTTGCTGAATAAATGAATGAACACGTCACAGGCCTCTTCTATCACAATTTATCCAGGAGGCATATGGGAAGATGGACCAGTGGGAATGAGATGTAAGAAGCCAATGCATCCATCTGAAGAGCTGACAGGGAAACATTTCTCCATATTAGGAAGAAATTTCACACCCAGGATTTCCACCGGCTCTCTCTGGCATTTTTGTTGTTGTTGTTGTTAATCCTAACCTGAGGATATTTTTTCCATTGATTTTTACAGAGTGGAATATTTTTCCCATTGATTTTTACAGAGTGGAAGGGATTCAGGGAGGGAAGGAGGAAGGGAGGGAGGGAGGGAAAGAGAGAGAAAGAGAGAGAGAGAGAGAGAGAGAGAGAGAGAGAGAGAGAGAGAGATCAACGTGAGAGAGACACATGGATTGGTTGCTTCCCACATATGCCAGGACCAGGCTGGGGATTGAACCTGCAACCCAGGTACCTGCTGTTGACCAGGAATTGAGCCAGAGACCCTTCAGTGAGCAGGCTGATGCTCTAACCACTTAACACACCAGCCAGGGCTCTTTGGCAATTTTTAAAGACAGAGAATAAATAAGTGTCAACATGTATTGAGTATTTACCGTGCAGCCAGCACTATGTTTTCCAAGTACTAACTCAATGCGGTCCTCACAAGGACTCCATGTGGGGGAGTTAACACCCACTTGAAGGGCGAGGAACACGAAGCACTGAGAGGTGAAAGTAACTGGGTCTGCAGTCACAAAGCCAGCAGGGGTGGCACTGGGATGGTGGTTTCTTTGGGGAAAGGAAGGAGAGTCCTTTGTAAAGAGAAACATTTCACTTTCAAATAGCTAAGAGCCTGCTGCCAATAGAATTAGTCTGTATTTGTGCCCGAGTTACATCCATTTTCTATTTAGGCTTATGAGTTTAAAATATAAAAAAGAGAACTACTGAAGACTTGGAATTTTAGTCACACGTCACCTCAGGGGAAATTAATTCTGATTTTTGTCTACAATACCCAGGCTCAAATTGCAACTCCAGTAATAAAATGAGAGCTGGGAAAAACAAGCACCTGGGGCGGATGAAAGTAATGTATGTGTCACAGGGCAGGGTCTGAGACGTGGAGTGAGTGTTCTTAGGGAAAAACATGTCAATACTAAATCTTCTCACCAACCTTTGATGGATGTGCTAATCTTCTCGGGTCAACAAGGCTCACCCTGGCAACGCGCTGTAATAACTTATTTAAAAGGCAGCTGGCTCTTTTAAATGGCCTGTTTCATCCATTTTTAGGTTTTCAGTCTGAGAAATGTATTCTCTTATCAAAACGATCTTTGCAATACAAAGTAAGAGTTCAATTATACCTCTTCCACAGCAGAGGAGACTGCAGAGGGGAGCAGCTTTGGGCATTACAGCTCTGTGCTCAGTTCTGACATTCAAACTCTGCAGAGGTAAAGAGATAACAAAAAGAATGTCAGACAGGTAGTTTCCTCTATTATTAGAGCGGCAGTCCACAAACTACTGCCCACAGGCCAAATCTGGCCCACGCCTATTTTTATAAATAAAGTTTTATTGGAACACAGTCACACTCACTTGTATACTTATTGTCTATGGCTGCTCTCAGGTGGCAAGGGCACAACTGAGAAGTCAGGACACAGGCCTGCAGTCTGAAAGCCAAAAGTATGAATTCTCTGGCCCTTGGCAGCACATGCGTGCTGACCTCGCAGGGAGAGAAGTCGCTGTCTGGCTGCATGCTTGGCCCATTCTCGGTGGGGGCGGAGGAGTTCCAGCAGGAGACCACGTCTGCCACATTTAAAGCATCTGCCTAGTTCAGCTGGGTTCAAGATAGAAGCAAGCAGAAAAAGACAAAAACCTAGGGCAGTGGTCGGCAAACCGCGGCTCGCGAGCCACATGCGGCTCTTTGGCCCCTTGAGTGTGGCTCTTCCACAAAATACCACGTGCGGGCGCACATGTACAGTGCGATTGAAACTTCATGGCCCATGCGCAGAAGTCCGTTTTCGGCCTGGGCGAGTCTATTTTGAAGAAGTGGCATTAGAAGAAGTGGGGGTACGTTCGCTGAGGTCGACCCCTCAGATTGAGGACGTTTTTAGCAAAGGCCAGCTTAGGAGTACCCTAATTAAGTGAATAACAATGTACCTACCTATATAGTTTAAGTTTAAAAAAGTTGGCTCTCCAAAGAAATTTCAATCATTGTACTGTTGATATTTGGCTCTGCTGACTCATGAGTTTGCCGACCACTGACCTAGGCAGTATCCCTAAGTGAGGACTTCAATGAACTGAACAGTGTAACGCATATGAAATGATCATTTTATGTCAAAAGAGAAACCCCGCAAGCAGGCAACAAGTACATGCCCTGCTGCTTAAAAAAGGCTGATACATGACGCGAAATTCATGCAAGGGGCTCGGCCCTTGCAGCCCCTCCCCCACCCTCACCCCCTCCTCTCTTCCCTCCCACCCCACACATGACAGGCCCACTGGCACTTTGGTGAACATGCTGATTTCTCAGGACAACGTCCCCTTTCCTTGAGAAAACGCACAGAAGCAGATGAAGGAGCAAATCCCAGAGGAAGGGGGTGATGGCTGGGGGCCCAGGACTCAGAACTTCAGCGGAATGACCGGCCAGTACTTGGGCCGCTTTCGGTCAAAGTGCTTGTTAAAGCTCAGCTGCACGGCAGCCTCCATGGCCTGGATCTTGGCGGCGCTGTCCCCGTACAAGCGCTTCATCTCGGCCTGGCGCCGCTCGCTGGGGCTCTCGGAGGGGGGCTCCATGGAGCGGCTCGTCTTGTAATACAGGTCGTGGTCGGCATTCACATAGTCTTCCAGGCGCTTTGCGTCCAGCTGCTGCTGCCGCCCTGAGAACAAGCCAACACAGTCAACTGGGGTGAATTCACGGTTGCCAGACGTGCAGGGGGAGGGGGGGCGCGCATCCCCCAAGTCCCTTAGCTTTCCCTTTCACACTGTGAAGCCACGCCCAGCTGTGCTGGCTGAGATGTTCTCTGGATTCTAAGGCACTACGAAGTTTGGAAGCTCCTTGCTCACTTATCAGGGGGCTATACGCTGGGAGAAATAGCAACAAGCCACAAGGAAAGGTGCTACCCCAAACTACCCAACATCTGGCAGCAGCCCTGAAAATAAAGGAGAAATTGACAGCAACTGGCCTCCTCTCCTCACCCAGCAGCCAGCTCACATCTTGCCCAACCAGGAAGGGCAGGTGGGGCTCACTGGGTTTTAAACACCCACCCAGGCCCGCAGGGAAAGACCAGTGTTGCAAGAAGTACTCCCCAGCACAGAAGAGGTGGTGGCAGAAAAACTGAATTTAGGTAATCCAGAAAGAGCAATGGCCACCATGACCTGATCCTTTCAGGCATCTAAAACACACACTGTACCAGGCAACAGGAGGTCAAGTGATTGAACACTTGCCGAAGGTACGAGGGCCAAACAAGGGCAATTCAGCGAATGGGTGGGAAACCTCTGTGGTCTAATCTTCCTGCTACATTAACCAAGCTAAAGAGGTAAGGAGGTAAAGAGATAACTTCAGTGCGCAGGCTGATGCTCTAGCCACTGAGCAACACCGGGCTGGGTGTCTATGTCCTCGCTATGGGATCTGACTTTTCACTTCTCAGGTTGGCTTAGGCTCCATTTCAAGTGCCATCGTTATATGCTTTCAATCCTATTAATTTAAATGGATTCTTGCCCCGGCTGGGTGACTCAGCTGGTTGGAGCATCATCCCGTACACCAAAATGGTTGCAGGTTCAATCCCCAGTTGGGGTACATACCCAGGTTGTGGGTTCGATCCCCGGTCCGGGCGTGTATGGGAGGCAACCGATTGATGTTTCTCCCTCACACTGATGTCTGTCTGCCTCTCTGTCTCTCTCTCCCAGTTCCTCTAAAATCAATAAACACATCCTTGGGTGAAGATTTAAAGTAAATAAATAAATGGATGAATGAATAAATGGATTCTTATAAAGCAAGAACTATTTATTCAATTTATTCTCCCCTTCTCTATTTTCTATTATAAAAAGCACTAATATAACTTTTATTCTTATGTAAATAAGAACATAAAATATCAGCAAAACAATGCTGTGGAAGGTAAACTCTAGCCTATTACATAGATTTTTGTAAGCGACTGTCAAGAACAGAAATTGATAGCCGAATGCATCCATCTGTAGCTACTGTTGCTACCAAGAGAAATGCTACCAAGTAAGGAGTGAAGATGGTTGTAGGGGATAAAACAACACTATAAATCATTCTTTCCTGGTTAAAAGCAGCAGAAAGAAAGGTTAGTATGGAAGAAACCACAAAAGTGAAGGAACCAAGTGTGCACAGAAAGATATTTATGTGGCTATGCACAATCCCTCTCATAAATCCTGTTCTTCATAAATGACACCTTGGACTAGGCGGGAAGGAGTTTTATAAACTTGGAAACATTAAAAATGTGGCCATTTCTGTCTCAGCACATCTGCAGTTCATTTTCACACAAGGAAGCAATGCCCTGATATGCCAAATGACTGGCAAAATGAAGACCATATCCCTGTTACCTTATCTAGGGAAAAGATAGAATTGACTTACTGGGAAACGCAGACCTAAACCAAAATATTGACCTAATATGGAAATGAATGGGAGGTCAACAAGCATTTGTTTTTCATTCTCAATCTTTCTGACAAGTTTGAAACATTAGGATGTAAGTTGTTAGTCCTCATGGGTGTTTAAATTCTATTCCCTACCCCGCCCCTCAAGGACTACTCCTCGGAAGGCCTGGTATTTCCCCATTAGCCAGGGAAGAGAGGCCCACCTAGGAGCGCCTTGGCCCCATTACCCATTCTTGGGGTCTCCTTTTGTTGTTGGCCTGCAGGACACAATCCCATGTGTGTGTCTGCTGGGGCCTCCGAGCCTCTGCATCTAGAGGGCAGAGATTCCCAGGCCACAGTCCTTTCACTCTCAAGTTTGTCCCAAGACTATCATCAGCCTTCTCGACAGATTAAGTGACACAACAGATGTTCCACTTCCTGTCTAAATCCGAGTCTCTGAGTTTAGAAGTTTGAGTAAACACTGGAATCTTCGCTGTCTTAGTAAGTGTTGCTCTCTGCTGTTAGAATATGTGAATTTAATCTTTTTACTTTTGCATCTATAGTTTTCTTTTCCTTATAATTTAGCATGGTTATAATTATGCTTCTTTCTGCTACTCTTCTGACAAAAACTCTTACCAATATTAAACTGGTGTCATAATTCTATGTTGAAACATTTTCTTTTAAAAAAATAAATATATTTTTATTGATTTCAGAGAAGAAGGAAGAGGGAGAGAGAGATAGAAACATCCATGATGAGAGAGAATCATGGATCGGCTGCCTCCTGCACGTCCCCTACTGGGGATCGAGCCTGCAACCTGGGCATGTGCTCTTGACTGGAATTGAACCCGGGACCCTTCAGTCTGCAGGCTGACACGCCAAAGTGGCTAGGACTCGAGAGACATTTTCTTAACTGTTGATGAAATACTGTTAACACAAAGCAACCTTAGCTGGCAGTCTATGAAGCCTGTGCAACTTTCCAAGTTTGAACTCGGCTCATGGGTTGCCACCATGGGGTTTTAGTTCTTAACAAAGTTAGTTCATACATTGCAAGAATAAAAGACAGTCCTCTGCTCTGTCCTCTACTTGTATCTCCTTCCCACCCAGCCTTCCTCATGAGAACTTAAGGCTCAACTCCGTCCCCTCCCTGCCCACAAGAAGTCTGGAAGTTTCCGGGTTTCCTGCATGGATTTAAGGGGCAGGAAGGGGGAGGGTCCCTGTTGCCTTTTTTCACCCCTACCCCCAGTCCCAGGAGGACACAATGCCTGACACAAAGTCAGTGCTCAGGAAATGATCGTAGAGAAAGTGTGGACAAAGGCCATACATTATTTTTTTGTAAACAACTGTTTCTTCCAAATGCTGTTGAAGAAAAATGATGACAACCCAGAGAAAGAGAGAGAAACAGATGCTGAAATCACAAAAGGTGCTGGGGTGGAGCTCCCCTACAATAGGTTCCTCAGAGCCTCCACGGGGAGAGGATGGGGGCAGAGCCAGGGTTGGGGTCTGATCTTGTTTCCTTACATTTGAGTCACTTCACCTCCACTTACTCACACAATGAAAAAATATGTTCCAAGGCTGGACTTCGGATTTGAAAACCAGCCAGCTTAAACCAAATACCCTCAGACTGGCTGAAAGTGCTTTCCTGTATACTGACCTAGGGGACCAAGCAAGCCTTATTCTTATTCCGTTTTCTATTTGTTGCTTCCTTCCTCCCACTGAGAAGGATTCTCAGTCACTGGCAGTTTTTCTTCCTGTCAAAACAAGGTGAGGGCTCATCCAACCAGATGGAGAATCAGATGACTGAAGCAGAGAAGGGAACGTCACACCTCAGACATAACTGAACAGGTGCCTTGTTGCGGAGAGGTGGGTCATTTTTACTGAAAACAGCTGTGGGACTTGATGTTACAAGAGGTTTTTTCTTGTAGGATATTTGGACATGGGAATTTGTTTTGATACAAATCATACTCTTTTTATATTCCAGTTTTAAAACAGGGTTGTAGTGGGTTGACTAACGTCCTCTCAAAATTCACATCTCCTTGGAACCTCCAAGGAGGTTCATGTGAATATGATCTTATTTGGAAACTAGAGGCCCAGTGCATGAAATTCGTGCATGGGTAGGGTCCCTAGGCCTGGCTGGTGATCAGGGCCAATCGGGGCCTTCCGGCTGCCAGCTGGGGCCTTCCTTTGCTCCGTGCCACCCCCTGATGGTCAGTGCACATCATAGCGAGCAATTGAACTCCTAGTCGAACTCCTGAGGGGACAATTTGCATATTAGGCTTTTATATATATAGAATAGCATCTTTGCAGATGTGTTTAAGGGAAGGGTGGAGATGAGATCATACTGGATTAGGGTGGACCCTATCCAATGAGGGTGAAATAGAGAAGGACACATAGAGACACAGGGATAAAACCATGTACACGTGGAGGCACAGGTTGGAACTATGCTGCCACAAGCCACCAAACGCCAGGAGCCAGAAGAAGCTGGAAGAAACAAAGCCCAGAAGACTTTAGAGGGAATGTGGTCCTGCCAACACCCTGATCTTGCACTTCTGGGCTTTAGAACTGTGGGAATAAATTTCTGTTGTTCTAAGCCATCCAGTTGGTGGTAATCTGTTAGCAGTCCTGGGAAACTGATGCAGGGGTAATACATACATAGGGTTAAAACAAGAAAAACAGTCAGTATTATACTATTAAGGAGAAACTGTACTGGATTCATCTGGATTTAGGATATAGAACCTTGATATTTTTTTTTGCTTGAGTCCAAAGATTTACATGATATTGCCAATAGAGACTTATGTCCATAAAGGAAAAAAAAATAATGGGAAATGACTTGGACCCTAGAGAAGCCCATGGAACAGGGAAATAAGCATTCATTATTCCACAAATAATTAGCCCATAGGCAGAATATTTTGGAGGACAAAGCACTAAGACAAATGAGTGCTCAAGAATGTTATTTTCCCTCATTTTTTCAGCATTAGCATGTCTTTCTGATTATATTCTCTGCTACGTTGCTAGAATTAATGATCTTCTAGCACAACCGAGTGAAAGCACAGACTTGTTTTATATCATGAATGCCTCATTTCTGACTTGTCAGCAACACACCCAGGACACAGGTGCAGATCTGGAGCCATTTCTGATGGGTCTGCCATCCTCACCCTACATCCCTCACTCCATGACAAATACAAGCCAGTGGACAACCACCATTTCTGCTTTTAGAATAAAAGTGCATTTCCATCCCTCCCTTCCACTTTTCGACAGCCTTTTGCATGTTTTTTTTCTCACCGAT